TCGTCCAACCCATCCCAGTGTTATGGGTAACAAATAATCCAGTCCACCCACCACATCAGCCTTAATCTAAGGCATCTTCTAGACATTTCCCTTTTGNTTTTGATTTGGAATTAATCAATACCAATATTAAATAGTCTACTTGTATATGTAAAACTGTATAAGTGTATGTACTATTTGATAATTGAAATAACAAGCTAAGAATTAATTTTTTTTTAAAATAAATCCTGTTATCAATAGGTAGACATTATAAATTCATATTAATTACTCATTGATAATTTTAAAACAAGGTTATATTATGATTTAAATTCTCTGTTAATGTTTTTCTTAAATGTTTATAATTTATCTTGATATTAACCTAAATAACATTACATTTCATCATTCTACTACAATAAATTCTTAGATTCATCAATGAGGATTCTAAACTTTTATGTACTATTTTCTACAGCATCAATGTACAGAATACATAACAAATTAGAATGAAAATAAAAAAGTCTTACCTTTCCTTTGTTTTGCTTCTTGTTCATTTTTTGAGCACAAGAAGTTTTTAAAATGCTTCCATGTCTCTTTGGAAAGTGGATTATAAAATTTGAGAATGATACTTCTTCCTAGAATAATTTAAGAATAGAAAAGATCCAGATGATTCATTAGCTAATTAATTAATATTAATAAAAAATGTTACATTGTCTGCGTTATTCGGGTTTATGTAATTAAACATTTACGAAAAATCTCGAAATGGAGGGAAAAATAACTCGCAATTTCCAAAAAACTTTCTATTTCAAGATGGCGTCGGCGATACGAAATCGAACGAATTCGAATCGGTGGAACGTGCGATAAATGCGTCACACGTTACGTCATAAGTTCTACGTCAGAATATTAACTAATTGCAAATGTTTTCTTTAAAATGCTAAAATAGTCCTCTTTTTTTGTAAAATATATTTGTAATAATAAATAACATTATAAAAACGCATTCCGTAACCTTACAGGTTACAGGCCGCAAATCTAGGTTTAAAGCGTATCTAATTTAAATTATTTAATTTTGATATAAATCGAAAAATATTAAGTTACCTACGTTACGCGAGTTTTCATTATTAAAATTTGTACGAAAAATGTTAAAATGGAAAGAAAAAGAACTCGCAATTTCCGGAAAGCATAAATTTCCAAGATGGCGTCGGCAACAATACGAAATGGAACGAATTCGAATTTGTCGTTGCAATGCGTCACGCGTTACGTCACGAGTTTTACGTCATAGATGTAATATTTCGAGTATTTTAATTGCATTTTTTAAAGGAAAGTTTATTTTTAACAAATTCTTTTCTCTCGGATTTGGCAGAATATTTGTTAAATGTAAAACTTCCCTAAAAAGACAATTTACTCAGATTACATTACAAGTGGTTGGGGTTTGATTGGAAACAATTGCTTCCACCATTGTAAGATCGGGAATTTACAACATATTTCTACAACTGAAAGTTTTTAATTTATATTGCCACAATATTTTCTTAACTATGAAAGAATAGGTAGCTGCACTTCTTTCTTGCGGATTGATTGTGTAATTTACATAATAAACAACAACCCAACACATTTCTATTACCAAATGATCTGTCAGATTATCTATTGAGCTATGTTGAGTCTAATAACTAATTACATAACAAATCAATTTAGCTAGAGATAGGTGCTTTAGCTGCTCTTTTAATAAATTTAATAATTAGAATTAAATTAATGTTAAATTTAGAATATTCTGAAAGGACATTGCCCATTGTCTATCCCAAAGAATATTGTCCAAAGAAAATAATTGTCCAGAATGGGACTCAAATGCACAACTCCTGATTAGTTTAGACATGCATTGCATGTTACACTACCCAGATTCTATATGATTTTTATTTCCAAAACCCATAGTGAATTTAGATATAAGTACAGTTAGTCACTTAAAGTTGTGTTGTTGTTGTTTTTTGTTTTGTTTTATTAAATAAAACAAAACAAATTAGTACATTAACTGATGACTATTCAATAAACACTTCAGTTTAATTAAGGCATAAAAATGAAGTAAGAATATAGTTTGAATATATATTTTTGGCCAGGATAGGTCTACATGTAATAAAGTCAGATACAGAGTATATTGTTTGGGTTTTTATAGTTTTATCTCTTATCCCATTGTTAGCATATGAGCCTTGAACATTACCACTAGAGTACGTTTGAGCCAAATTCTGGATAAGGTTTCTATAGTAACCTGTTTTATAGCAATATATTCAAACTGTTATAGTCATTTGCCATTTCAGTAAAATCTGTACAATGGGTAAAGGGTCTTTTTGTCAGGGCTCTAAAAACAGTTATATTGTATACATCATGGGTTATTGGAGCTTGCAGATATAAATAATGGTGGGTGTGATGGTTTGTAATATAAATTTGGGTGAATATTTTCATTTCTATTGTTGATTTTAAGATCCAAAAAAATGTACCATTTAGTTGCTGGCATGGTCTAATTTAATATAGTCCATAAGGATTGTCATTCATTTGTTGTACGAAGCCATTTATATCTGGCTTTGTTTTCCATATAATAAAGTTATCTTCCACATATCTTTTGCACGTAAGCATACATGGTAGAGTTGATAAAATCGTTTTTTCAATAATATTATATCTGACAAAAGACCCCAGGCAAGAGGCTATCCACAGGTGCCCCTCTCTTTTGAACATATGTCTTGTAATCATAGTGAAAGAAAGAGGAATAGCATGAAATATGTGCTTAAATCCAAGATAAATTTGCAATTGACTTGCTTATTGCTTTTATGTAATAAATGTCTAAGAGGGCAAAACTTTGTTGCAATTTGTATTAAGTGGCACACAGGTACAGTATAAAGTCTAAGACTGTAATATAAACATCTCCTATAAGTTGACTACCACAAATCATCAATTATTTGTTCTATTTTACTGATGGATAATCTATAGGTTTTTAAATAATCTTTAAGTAGATTATGAATAGCATTTTCTAAAAGGCAAGTATGCAGCATGGCATTACAGTTCATATAGTGTTACCTGATTTATGGATCTTCGCGAATGCAAAAAGTTTAGGAGTATTAGCAGAATTTGCCATTACACTATCTAATTTTAAGGATCAAAACATCTAAATCCAATAAATACAACACCAAACTATGTATGTGTGTGTGTCAGTGGCGTGCCGTGACATTTGATGATAGGGAAGCTGTGTTTCTGTAAGAAGCCAGACTTTCAGGGGCAATCAGTCAGTGATGGTCTAGGGTCCATTCGATAAGCTAGTAAAAATCGTAGACTTCTCTGAATGTATTTTTAATTAATAGATTATCTAACTAATAATAAACAAAACAAGTGCAGCCACAAATCCATTTTATATATTCATAAATGTCGAACAAATTTTTTTGTTGACATATTTATATTTAATTTGGGTATTGGTCTTTCTCTTAATAATGTTTTCTTTTTCATTATACGGTCTCGAGCCAAAACTTTTTGAAATAAATTTTCAATATCGCAATTACATTCTGAATCTCTAGCCACGATGTAAGGGCTAAAATTAAAAATAAAATTATAAAAACTTAACTTGTTAAAATAAAATGTGTGATGGATATACAATTATACATACCTGGTACAAAATATTCAATTGTACGAATATACGTTTAAAGAAAATTATAAATATAGTTTTGTGAAGAAACGTACATAAAAATAACATAAAATAGTCTTTACTTTTTAAATATTAAAACAATCCACCTAGTTAAAATTGTGGATGGAATCGAAGACGGTCTTGGTAGGTGTGCGGTGCGTGCATGCTTGCCAAATGCCGAGGGTGCGATAGGCTGCCTCTTTTCTCTCATCACTAGTATATCTCAAAGGACGCGACAGGATTGTTGTAAATTTTAAACGTTTCTCACCGTAGCTGTAAAAATCTAAATTTGTTAAACTTAAAAGTCATTTGTTTTCTAACTAATTCGTCTTAAGACCAGGTGTCCACGGAAATTTCCAAAAATTTACAACTTTTAGTCACTTTCATTGAACTGGAAAAATTTCTGTCTTTATTACATCTAATATTACGAAGAAATCAGTCCCACTGTACTCGGTTATGCTTTTGTTTAAGTAATATTCCGTCTCTTTCATTAGGGTTTTGTTTACGTCCCCAATTCCCTAATCGCTTAATTATTTAACTACTTCTTAAGTAGAAATAAGTCGAAACCGGTTACTTTGTACTCGAATATTTGTAGTCTCGGGAAAAAGTGGAAAGACAAATTTTTACGATAAACGGATGCATAAATCGTAAATTTAAGGAAAATAAATTCTAGAGCCTTAAATTCTTATCGGTTGGGTTAAGTTATAAATCTACTCGTTATTCACGTAATCGGCCAAATATCTAGCGGGCGGGCGGCTAACAGCCCGGAACTGGTCCTTGATAGAATTGGAATCGTTGTGTGTGTGTGTAGCTTCCACCCAAGGTCGTAGGCTTCCACCGGCTAAACCGGGTGAGGTTGGTGCTCTGTAAAGCGCGTGCGCAAATCTGGCTTTTAGGAATCTGACAATACAGAGATTCCACTCCGCCACTAATATTCGAATATACAATAGCAATATTATCTTTTTTCACGTGTAGTATAGAAATTTGTAATAAGATACATAATGCGGTTATAATAAAATATTGTGCGAATATTTTCGTATAATTAAAATTAATATGTATTTATTTTTTAGAAAATACAAAGGAAGCGGCGCTTCCACCGCTTCTAATGTCGGCACGCTACTGTAAGCTCATGATGTTGACTCCCCAAAGCCATTGCACCGCTAGGTCGATGCCTCTTGCATAAGCCTATAGCCATTTCTGCTTACTAAATGGTTCCTCTGTCAATTAATCGTTAAAAATATAGAATAATCAATTTTAGAACGTTAAAAGAAATTTTAATTATATTAACAATTAACACACATAAAATTGACTTAAATATAAACAGATGAAATCATCTTTTTTCAAAAACATTTATTAAGCAAACAATTGATATGAAATATATACAAAAACCAAAACGTTTAAAAAATCTTAAACAAAAAATCAACAAGACCAAATTTTGGTTTCAATAAAATTTGTGGAAAGCAAATTAATAATATATTCAATTCCTTTAACAAAACAGAATGCTTTTCATTCTTGTCTTCCATTTGACAGACATTTTTGACTCATCCCGTCAAACAATAAGAGCAATTAACAAGTAAAATCAAGCATCTATACGAGCTTTTCTATTCATCAAAGTCCACAATTTACATTAAAGAATTACACATTGATATAACATCCTACTTTCACTATTATCTGAGACGATAAGGTATAAAATTTGAAATTTATTTCGGCACAAAATAAGAGTATGAATCGTTTGGTGAATGTCAATTTGTCTTATTTGTATGAAAGCATCTATGGTACGATTTCTTAAAAAAGTCTGTCGAAAATTTTTTTTAAATTTATTCTTACTATAAACAAAATGAAAAATATCCAAATATAAATACATAAAACTTATAGGAACAATTTTAAAGAAAAAATGATCGTGCGTATATTCCTGAGATTAAAAACAAAACACCCCAATGACAATCCATAATAGACTTTTACATTTACTGAACATTAATAACTTTAATATTCACAATAATTTCTTATTAAAGTTCGCTTTTAATTTCCGTTACCACGCATCTGGGACAAGCGGCCGGTATTGCTCCGTCTGACTGGTATCGGGCCAACATCTGCTTGCTGGTCTGAGGAAACGTGTGTAACGATTCCTTAAAATACGGAAGTATTATCGACTTGAAATTCTGAGTAGTGTAATGGTGACCGCAGGTGAAAATGATCACGTCTTTGCTACACGAAGTAGAAACGTGAGAACCTATGCGTTCGCTTATTAACGATTTGCTCAGACGTTCGACGTCGTTGGACGACAGATGAATGCTACAATTGGCCAGAGCTCGCTTCTGTAGATTGTGAAAAATCTCTTGCCAGAGACAATGAGTCGGAACGGGTCCCTCCCATCTATCTACCATATGAATCTGCTGTAGCATGCTTGCAGTTCCGGTTAATTCCATCATGTAATCCATTAATTCTGTATGTTGTTGACCGGACTGTACGTGCTTGATGATTGAAGATACCACAGTCAGACAAAAGTTTGTCGATAATTTATTTAAAAAGTGCTGAATTGTAGAAACCGTTTCTTTACTTGTAGTGTTACTGTTAAAATAAAAGTATAGGTGTCAATGTAGTTTTTAAATACTTTTATACGAATACTATATTATTAGAATTTAAACGTATAATTAAATAAATAATACCGTACTTATTGGATTCTAAGCCGCACTTTTAATATCCCCGAAAATCGGGTCCCGCTTACATTTTAAATTTTACCTCAACAGACAATTTTTAAAGTTATGTAATTCTATTCTATAACAAATCTACAATCCCACGACCTAATTTCCTATTATTCTTTTCAGGGAAACGATCCATAGGATAATACTGAATCGCTTGTTTTGTAGTATTTTTAACCCTTTTGAAGTGTTTTCACTTTAAAAAACAAAGAAATTGTGAATTGGTGATGATTCTGGGCGGTAAGACGTCAATAAGCCCTTTAAGGACTATGCCAGAAAAGAATACGAAGATTATTGATATTCGGAACACCACACTTTAACTTATTGTGGGAAAATAAAGAAAGCCAGTGCTTCAAAAATTGCGGAATGGTTATCCATCTCCTGGGAAATGTTTCCAGTGAAATAATATTTCATTCCTTTATAAAAAATGCTGCATTACAAATGCAATGGATGGCACAGAAGACAACTTAGTTGGAAAAATGACAACACAGATTCCAAAGTCAGCTGTGATAATGAGAATGATGAATCATTTTCACAATAGTGACAGTGAGAGCAATTAAGATTTATTTAAATTACGTATTTAAGATTATTTTAATAAATAAATTCTCCTTGTTGTTCTTGTTTTTTCAACTTTGTAAATAAATCTTACTGTTAAGAAATTGAGGTGCGGCTTAGAATCGAATAAATTCGGTAATTAATAATTTGTTATTGTACTAAAAAACACACCAAAATAACAGCAATCCTAGTGGATAATAAAATAGAGTTGGACGTTTCTGGAAAAATGATTCAATTTGTTCTATGGATAAGTCGTGATCCATCCAAAATGTAATTACCTAAAATTTTGTTTAAAAAAATTATCATAAAAAATTATACAATAATCGATTCACCTAAAGCTTACTTACATGTTCGAGAAACTGCTTCACGGCATCGAAGTTATCCTGATCTAACATCCTAAGAATTGTGTTATATTTGATTAGAAATAATAATAATTTTAATTCAAAAAGAAAATAATTAAATCAATGAAAAACCTGGTGTAATATTGAATGACTTCTAATGTTACTGAAGGTAAACTGGTGATACTTTGAATGCTTTCTCCTAGAGCTTGCAATTGATACTTAACTGCCTGAATTAAATATTATAATATATATATATATATCATCATTTTATTAGTAGTAATTAAATAATGTTAGTATTCAATAATAATAACATTACAATTGAATAGAAACACATACATCACACTATAGAAGACCACTATATTGAATACGTGTCGTATTGTTAGGAAATTCCTGAATACCGACATGCACACTGACATACTTATTTAATTTTTGTTTTGTTTTGGTTGCTATGCCTTGACTCTGGTCCGGCTTAGTACAAAGCAAACAGTGTGAACCGAATATAACTCACTGAACCCAACATAATAATAATGTTAACTGACCTGAGCATATAATCCTTCTAACCTACAAAGTTCTGCAGCAGCTTGAAACTGATGAAATGCCAAACAGCGATTCAATGTGGCAGTAAAATCACAGGAACGATGAAATATCTTTATGAAAATAAAAACAGTTTACTAAGTGTATTTGTAATTTTTATTTATTTATGTTTTTTGTATAAAAATAGATAAATGGGAGGCATTTAAGTCTGAGCGTATGTGTTAAAAAAATTAGTGACAACAAATATATTTTATTACATGTTAAAAAATTAAATTAAATTTATTAAAATTCAAAAAAAATTATGCGAATATTGCAAATATTAAAAATTAACCTTTAATGTGGCATGAAGAGCTCTTGGACCGTAAGAAGGATCGTCAAGTTTTGATAACGTAGGCAAACAAATATTTGTCTGATTATTTCTCGCTTGATAGTAAATAATTTGATACAGCTTAAAAATTAAAGTTATTATTATTATTAATTATTGAAAATTACATCATAAACTTAAAACTAAAACAGTGTTACTTACTGCCATATCATTTTCAAAACTTCCACTCTCCCAATCCATAACAGTCTGACCTTGAAATCCTGAAAATGCATTAATTTGTACAGGACGTAATATACCCTGTCTGCATCCCTGAGTGATGGTTATCATTCTACGATTCGTTCGGATAGTAATTACACGATTACTGGTGGAACTTTGCGACCTCGAAGTAGACTCTTGTGTAGGTTTTTGTCCTAACTAATCAGTTTTATTCAACATAAATAATTTATAAATGTATTAGAAAAGTAAATATAAATTTTAATTAATTTTTACCTGTCCACTGTCGTTTTGACCCCATCCCCATAATTTTCCGACAGAATCTAATACAATAGTGAAATCGGAACCACAAGCAATTGATACAATCTTTCGATCGTTAACGGCAAGCACCATAGATGGCAATTTCTGAAAATATATTTATTCATTATTGTAACTATGTATTATATATATTATATATATGCCATGCAGTCATGCATAAACTAAATTTTCACAATTAAAAAAGCACAGACTCAAGGTATTTGAATAAAATTTTATTTTTATTCAACATATTTCTCTTCATCATTGATGCATTTCTTGCAATGATCCAGTCAAATATTTTAAAAAATTCATTGCAAGTGAAGCTGCTCAAACACTTGTAACATTATTCTAGATGTCCTCAAAAGTAATTACTTCTTGAAATTCTGCCCTATAATCCACTCCTTTCACAGATTTTGGAAAAAGAGATTTATCTTAACCTTGGCTAATTGAATTTTGATTCTATTGCAGAGATGATAAGATCTAAAGCTTCAAAACAGATCCTCCTATAGCAGACCTCAGGCCTCACACACATTAAATTTGGGTTCATTACCATCCCCTTCATCCAGGTTCCTTTTTCTAGGAAAACTTGCTTTATTTATGTTACATCTCTTAAACAACTTCCAATTCTTTCCAAAATATTCAAACTGCTTCAGAATGAATTTTTTTCAAAGTGTAAGTATCAAGCCTTTCCTTTCCACTGCTGTTATTTTTGATGACTGAAGAGTGGCAGTTAAATTGTCACAGTGACTAAAGATGAAAACACTCAGTTTGAGTTCAAAGAGAAAAGTAAAATTTTCCATCTGAAAAGAAAATTCAACAATTCGTGCTCTGACTGTGTCTTGCACCTCTTTTAATGCTATTGTCTATACCTGTTTTAGGACATTGTAATTCTCAAGAATTCTTATCACTCCAATGTGTTGGATTCAATGCTCTCAAGCCAGATGTTTCAAAATCATAATCCAGATGTAATTCAATTTTTACTTTCTTGAATTAGGTTTCTTGTTTTGGAGAATACTTTATTAACTTTGTCACTTCAGTCAAAACATCCAGATATTGCATGTGACTTTGCATTTTTTAACAGCATCAGAACAAGAAAGGTACCTAATAATTGACTTATGTTATTGTAAGATTCGTGCTAATCTTACTGATTGATGTTTGAGGAAGGAAATAGATATAAGCCATTAACACATTACAAGTTTATTCTCTACACAGAATCACATATACAAGAGAACAGGGCCAAAGAGACCAGGGCTGTGGTTTCTGAGCTTATATATTAAGTAGNGGGGCCTCCCACCTGAAGGTTTCCATATCTGGTCTCAGATTTCATCTATCTAACTCTGTTCTCAAGATTAAGGAAAGACAGACATAGACAACAGTGGGAATTTATAGGTCTACAATTTTTCTAATTGTAGCTCAAAAAATAAAAGTATATGAGTTTACTGGCTCCTTTCAGATCTGACCTTGAAAAATTATCTAGTTTGCCTAAGCCTGAATCCAGCCCTGTTTTCAAGAAAAAATTCAAACACGCCTTGAATAAATTTGTAATAGTATAGAAATTCACCAGATAAAAAACATCATTGCCAAATTGTTAACTAGCTTAAATTGTCTCCATACTGGAGTCAGAGCAATATTGCCCATCCATCACTGAAAACACTTGCTTGTCCTGGTTATACTCATGATCAAAAAGTATCAGGAATGGTTCAATAAAATGTAAGATTTTAATTTATTCATCAAAACTTATTTTATCCCATTCAAGGTAATCCTCTCCCACTGCAATGTACTTTTGCCAATTTTTTTTCAATCCTTAAAACATACTTTAAAGTCATTTTTGTGAAACTCCTTTGGGACTAGCAGCAAATTTTGGTTTATGGCATCAATCAACTCAAAATAATGACCACAAAGCAGAAATTTTAGTCGAGGAAATGGGATAGAGTCACAGAGTCCATATTGGGAGAAGTTTGCAAAACTGTATTTGTTAAATTTTTGGCCAAAAATTTACAAACAACAAGAGCATCGTGAGCAGATGCATTATTGTGGTACAAAATGAGATTTTAAGTTTTCTCATTACAAACCAGATTGTTTTCTATGAATTGTTTCATGCAAATGATGAAAAATGCTCAAATAATAGTCTTTGTTGACAGTTTGGCCAATCAGACAAAAGTCATGATGCACAACACCATGACAATTGAAGTAAACAGTTAACATGACCTTCATTTTTGACTGACTTTGATGTGGTCTTTTTGGTCTTGCTTCACCTTTCAAGCACCTTGATTGTTAAGCTGTTTGGTGTTAAAAGCATAGATCTATGTTTCATCACACATAATAAAACGTTTTAAGAACAATTTTCCTTGAGAAAGCATTTCTTCCGTTACTTGATAACATTATTGTTTTTGGAAAAATTCAACATTTTTGGGACAGCTCAAGGAGCAATGCTCTGCAAGCCCAAATGATCTTTCAAAATTGCTTGACAAAATCCAAATAATACCAAAACATGTTCAATAATGTCCCTAATTGTTAAATGATGATCATTGAGCACCAAATCTCTGACTTGGAGCAATGTTTTCATCAGTTGAAGTGGATGGTCTACCAGAGTGTATTTTGTCTTTGACTCATTCTCTGCCTTCCTTTTACAACTTGTGCCACCCAAAAACTCTTGTTTTCGATAGATTATCATCACCAAAGGCTTTTTGCAACATTTTCAACATTTTTGTATCAGTAATTCCATTGTGAAAACAAAATTTAATGCACTTCTTTGCTCAATTACACTTGACATTTTGAAAAATTGATGCAAAAATTCTTTAACACACAAAACAAGCATTTATTTGCAAACAAAAACAGATGATGACATAGAAATTGTTGTCAATGAAAGTCGTGCCAAATGAAAAAAATGCTGACAAACCCATCTTCACGTATGTAGTTTAAATGAACCATTTCCAATACTTCTTGATCACAGTAGTATAAAAAGAATTTGTATCTGACCCCCTTTAAAGCAGTGCCTACCAAGTTGACACCAGCCAAAAGTAATGACAACCATACGTCAAATGGCCATTGGTGGCAAATTATGTGTAGAGAAGACGCTGTCTACTAAGTGTTAGTTTTAAAACATGGTATGTCCATTGCCAAGTTTGAATGCCTGCCATGGCAAAATGATGTAAAGGATATGTAAAAAAAAAAAAGAGACAGATTAGAGCATTGTTTGTAAACCAATTCTGATATGCTGATATATCAATAGTGGATCAATATCAGTTATCATTTCTAATAAATCTGCTTTAATTATTTTTTTCAAATGTTTACTTTTTTGTCATTAACTATAGGTCTGGTGATTATGATAGGTGATTGATGAGTTCCCAGCCCAGTTGATGCAGGTGACAGATGATCTTACTGTTGTTTTAGCATTATCTGGATGGAACAAAACTCCCTTCTGGTTGACTAATGATGGGAGAGTTTTGGCAATCCTTGAAGTCATATTATTGAACATACTGCAATAGCAGTTAATACCAATTGTTCTTCCTAAGCTGTGTAGTGATGATAAATGCACTTTGATAATCCCATAACATACAAAGCAGCGTTATCTTGTTGCTCAAAGCTTCCTTAAACTTAATTGGTGACCATTCTCTAGGCATCACATGGAATCCTTGGATAGTTGAATTATCATATTACATCTACTTCGTGTCACGGTTTAAAAGGTGATTGAAGTAGGGGCATTTCTGGTACCATTTCAGCAGTGATGTGCATTTGGAAATTTGGTCATGCTTGTTCTGTTCAGTCAGGATATGCAGAACCCTCTTTACACTTGATGCCTAGCTGCTTCAGTGTCATGAAAATTTAAGTGATGCCTCACTTAAATCTGCTACTGCCTCACCAGATTATCATAAATTTCCTGTGGTTGTCCAGAGCATGATTTGTTCGATGCTGTAGTCTCTGGATGAGAACTGGGCAACCAGTTTCCAACAGTGCTCTCAGATGGAAACTGTCCACTGTCATCATTTCTGTATTTTATACAGTCTGCTTCTGCTTCATAGTGGATGTGAGTCAAAACTCATAAAGACTATTTACCTTTTTTCTTATTGATTTTTAACTAACATTTTTGCAAACTGTTTGAGGTTTACACAAACTCAGAATACAGTTTTGTTACATCCCCTTTGAAAGTTTGTTTCAAACTACCAATTAAAAAACACGTTTTTTAATTTTTATCTAAAGCCATCTACAGGTATTTTTGCAAATGCTTTTTTCACATCAACTTTCTGACCGACCTGATATAAATATATATAGAGTAGATATCCAATCAAAACTTTCTGATCAAAAATTAACATATTTAACTCTAATGTACAGTACAATACCATCAAACCTAAGATGCACCCTTATTAAGATTATATTTTTATTGACATAATCAGCTGTTTTGGTTAATTTCATAAAATGTAATAAATGAGAAGTAAATTTTAGCAAAATATATATATTTTTTCATTCATAATATGTAATTGTTTTATCAAATTGGCTACCCTTTATCAAAATGTTTTAGTTCTAAAAAGAACTGTTAATAATAGTCTTTAAAAGGACTTTTTAAAATTATGCACAACCAAAGTTAAGGCATTCTGAGAATTTCTGTTATTCCAAGAATATCTTCACTACTACTTGTAACTAAATATCCAGAAACAACATGCTAAATGGTTTGACAAGTTCTTCATGGTTCATGTTGAGTGGTTTAATTCCCAAAATAACTGTTCAATATTGAAAATATGCTTAACTTCATTTTTCCAATTACCTGTTGTAATGCTATTGATGGCAGATGATATCAGTTCTTCTTTGTGAGCAAGTTTCAATGATACATCTTTTGCTTTAACCTATTCTTCCATTTGCACTCAAATGAATTCAATCAGATTTAAATCAAAATCATAGGGAGGTAACACATTCTTGAGACCTTGCTAATTTGTCAATTTCATCAAACTTTCTCTTTTACTTTATATAGTCTGATGATGTTATAAGGAACTGAGTCGGAGCATTATTTTAATTTAATTTTTATTTTGCTTTTTATTCTATTTTTGTTTGGGTTTAAGTTTTGTTAGGACGAAGGTTCCCTCACCACTCACCTTAGTAACTAGAACGAAACTAAAAGAGATGAACGAAGGAAAAACCAACTCACCAATGAGATGAAGCGCTAAATAGGAAAACTAACACGCACTTGCATTCCCAGGCGGAAGTTTTGGAAAGAAGTTCTGCAGTAAAAGGGGGACACCCCACAAGCACTAAATAGGGAACTTGCTAAACTTTATTAAATTAAACATCCTGAAAAATGTAATAAAGATAATGTAAAAGGTTAGTGAGAAATTTCGGGAACTAAGCTGCCAGGAAAAGACGTGAGAATTAAATGTTAGATGTAAGTATGTAAATGAGGGGAGTGATTCCAGACAGCATTGTGACATCACCTCAGAGTATAAAGCCACTATGCCAAGAGAAGACAATCGAAATGAGCTCCAGACAGCAAGCGAGTGAAGTGAAGTCCAGAAAGCAATTGAGGGGATTTCCAGAGCGATAGGAGTTATTTCCTGAGAGAGAGGTCAAGAGTCAGTCGTGAGGATAGAGAAAGGAAGGTGATAAAGGATAAAGGTTCCTACTATTGAGGTGACGAATAGGCTCTTAGTTTTGTATAAATTGTTGTATGTAGTTTAAGTAATTAAGATTGTTGAGTTCCAAGAGGGAATAGTTCTAAGTTAGTAAATAGATTGATTATTTGTCGGGTTGTTCGAATTGTTGATTTTTCATTGAATAAATTGTTTTTGCTTGTTACTAATTTTGTAAATAGTACTTGAGTTCATATTAAATATTTGATTCTTTACTGACCTTGTATATAGTTATTTCGATGCATGCATAAGTCCAGGCCTGGCATACTAACCGCGAACCCATGTAAAGTACCCATTAGGTTAACAGATGTCTTACCGGCACACATTTCTATGTCGTTTAACCCAAATCTTAATAGTCAGTACTTTACAATGTTATATAAATCTATCTCAAAAATATTGGAAAAACAAGTGATTTCTTTTTTTATTTAATCACATAATCAACTTGTTTTTGTGACAATATTGGAGCTTTTTGTTTTGATTTGAATGGTAAGGAACATTATTCATAATTATTACATATTTTGCTGAAATATTTGGTAAAACTTGTTTTTCAAACCAAGTACCAAAGAAAACATTGTTCATTTCATCATAATAATTATTGAAGGTTTTTTGATTGAAATAAGTATTTGGCATTTAGTACAAAACTATTTGAACTACAAGTGTGAAATAAATCTGCCATTGTTCCACTGTTTATTTTTGCCTTGGTGTTCATCTATCCATGTTTCATCTAAATAAATAAAAGAAGCACCTGACAGTTCTTGTCTATGTACAACAATTTTTGGTTTTTTGATATAAAATTTCCTGTCATCTATTTTACCATATTTTAAATAAAGCTTTTTTGTTAAAATATGATGCACTAAATCTCTACTCTCTGTAAACAAAATCTTTTCCTATACTGTTTATTTGCCTGAAGAAAGTGTTGGATAATTACTTTAAAATATTTCCAAAGTTGTGATACAAATAGCTGTTAACTCTAAATCATTCAAATTTGTAACAGTTACTCTTCATAGTTGTTTCTTTCTGGGAGTAGAAAATGTCAGCTACGTCAGCTTGTCAATGTTTACAAATGTGGCAATGTTGGCATTCTTATCTTCAATGGAAATCTTTCTGATTGTCAATAGAGATAAACCAGTAGTTTTTGATGTTTCATAAAGAATATTAGAATGTGATAAATTTTGGCAATTAAAATAATTATATACAATAAACACAATAGCCCTAGCAAGACTGTGCAATGTTTTACCTTGCTCAGTACAACAACATTACCCTGTTACCACTTTCCAGACTAAGACATGATGTCATTACTATTCTTATTTTCTTTAATTTATACTGCTAAAATCTTAAAATCTGTTATATAATAATTTGAACAACATTCAAAATACTATTTAACAACTTTCAAGTAAGGGAAAAATAGTAAAAAGATCTTTGAGTTATGTTTTCTAAACAATTATCAGACAATTGAGAAAGAATTTCTATATCATATTGGATGACTTTAACTTTGCAATTCATCAGCTCTTTACCATATAGTATTTTTCTTTCAAAGTTACTATTTTTTTTAAAACAGATAACTTGAGACAAATTTATGTCAACAGAACTAATTTCATTTCATTGATATAAATTTGTACAATACTTATTGCTAGTAAAGTAAGTTATATTTAACTGTCTTCTGTAGTACTAAAGTCGGAAACTTCTTCACTTTCCATGTTATGCTCTTCTGAATAAATACAAGATTAATTCTCACATTTTCCCCATACATAATCATCCTCAGTTTTGTTTAAAGCATTAAAAATGAAATTATTTCTTAAAAAGTGAGATTCAAATAGAATAACCCATTAATTTAGTCACATTAGCAGTACAATTAAAATTTATAATATGAAACAACTATCAACTATAAAAAATTGAAAATATATCTCAATTTTAATCATTCATAGGGGGAAAACAGTCTATATAACAAATTAAAAACAATATATTTTATTTATTTTTTTTGAGGAAGTCATATAGCTTTATGGTTGCAGATTAATAACAGTATTAATTATTTTTATACACTACTGTAAGAAAACCTCTTATTTTAAATCTTAATAATTGAGTGATTCTAAAAAGATATTTTTTTCTAATTAACAATTTTAATTAATTAAAAATTTTAGTCTGCAAAATGTGTCAGATATTTATTAATAAAGAGTATTTCATATAAGCTTGGCAGAACAACTTATTGTTACACACTGCTTTTACAATAACATTTATGTCAAATAATGATGATAAATTAATGGAGTAAGTTTTTCTTGCTCCAAAACAGTACATCAAAATATACAATTCTGTCTGAATAATCCAGAAATTAATATATAAAATAAATAATTCTGTTTTTCAGCATTAAAATTCTTTAAAGATGGTAAAAATTGCACTTTATAGAATGGCATTTTAGAGATAACAAATTTGCAAGTACTTTTGGCATTATATTAATGTATTAGTAACTCAGACAAAATAGAACATTTTAAAAAAATATTCTATATTATCTGAAGAAGNTAATAAATTTGGCAGTATAATCTAATAAAGCTCAGTAAAACTTCTGTATAGAGTTGATTGTAATAAATTACTGTATTGTATATCCAGCTTCTCATTTTGCACATCATCAAAGAAAACACATAATAATAATTTAAAATAATTTTAATAATGTATTATAATTATTTGATTAAAATAATATAAATAAAATCATACCATTTTCAGAAAATAATAACAATTTTCCATAATCATTTTCCATAAGAACATTATATGCTAAAACATCCAAAGAATCTTTTATGGAATTGATAGATAACAAGAATTCCACCATCAAGCCAAGCTGACAACGGATCTACATTTTTGTAAAAATACAAAAATATAAAATATAATTAATAATAATAATATTGAATTAATTCTAATATTTCATATATAAAAATATGATTCTGATTATGTATTTATCATATATTCAAAAAATAATAATGATGCTAAATACATTGTCCTAAAATGAGAATCATCATCATTTTTTAGACAAGTTATTACCCATCAAAAAATGACAGGAAAATAAATGAAATCATCAGTCATTTAGTAAAATCAGTAATCTTGTTACAAAAACTTAATGGTGAATAAAAACTCATAAAAAATGATGAGAGAAGAAACAAAAAATTCATTTTTATTTAAAAAACTATGCAAGCTTTATTTTTATTACATTTTTCATAAATATTATTGTCTCCTAATAATTTTCCACACTATCCTGAATCCAAAATACAAATTTTTATTAAACTCTTACCATTACTGCAATATAATCCTAACTTGCCCAATTTTGTTAATATTTGAATTTAAGCATGTACCATCCAATGCAATTAGTATACAGAATACCCCAAACTTACGCAATAGGTGGGACCGAGCGATAACTGCTTAAGTCGAATTCGCATAAGTCAGAGTATAATTTCACAATTTGTGTAAAATCCAAGTCAGATGTATGTAAGCTAATAAATGTTCTCATTAATCTTATCTTGTCTTTTGATTCGTTCACAGTTGCAAGAAATCACCACATAGACTCTCTCAAGTCTCCATAGATATAACAAACACAGAAATAAATAACACAAAATAAACTGTAGCTATGCGTTGATTTCGCACGACACGTCTGAATGTGTAAGCTGAACAATAGAGTGGGGGGAGTGAGAAATCAAGAGTTGTGTGGCGCTCAAACAAAAGACAAATCAACGAGATTTGAAAATCATGTAACTCTGGGTTCGCATAAGCCGAGGTATTACTGTATTTAACTTGTGGTAGAAAATATCCTCCGGCACAGACAACATTATTAAGTGAATTTTGTCAATTCTGTTTTCAAAATGTGACTTTTTGTATTTCAAATCATTTACATTCCAGAAAATTAATTATTTCTGATACTAAGAACCAGCTTAAAATTAACCAAAGTACATTGCAAAATGCAATAATCATTTTTGCTCATCATTAAGCTTTGTAAAAAAATTATTGATTTTATTAAATGACAATGATAAAAACTAAAATGACATGATTAATGGAATTAATGGCTTTTTCTAAGAAAACTTTGACTTCATGGTTCCACAGAAGCACACATTCCACCAATAAAAGTTTTTCCTAGAAATGCCAATGTATAAACACACACTTATAGGATATTATATTAGATGTTTCAGAATTTTAAATCTAATTTTAAATACAGGTAGTCTCAAACTTTCAGACATAATTCATTCCTATAAATGTGTATGAAAGCTGAACAACAGAATTGTGTATAAACAACTATACAAAAATCTGTTGCATTGCAATGACACACCAACAACTGCTGTAAATGATTGAGCCACAATTTGGAAATAATAATAATAAATTACAAATGAATTTGACACTAGAGGGAGGTGTTAGGCGCCGTCTTGTAACTCGACCGAGTGCCTCGTGTGGATGTTTATAGGACGAGTGTGCCGAATGCATTCCCAGTTGGCACCATAGTAACCGATGATGGTTATATCTTATGGTTAATTACACTGGAAGAGGAGATTGGACTGGAGGTTCTGGCAGCATAACTGGCAATGCATCCACATGGTAAGCATGAATTGTGAGTTTGAGTCGTGCTTCAGACTGATTGTTTTCTTCCAGTTTAATCTAAAATAATATGAGATGGTGCCTAATGCCTCCCTCTAATGTCAAATTCATTTGTAATTTATTATTATTATTTCCAAATTACAGCCCGATGATTTACGGCAGTTGTTGATGTGTCAACAGAGTTGCATGTTGTAAAAGCAGTTCTATTTCCCAGAGAGCTAAAATGGAAAGTTTTCCTTCTTTATGGTGAATATGTTACAATGCTTAAAACATTAGACCAAAGATTATACAGAAGACAGACAATAAAAATTGATCTTTGCAAATAATTTTGTTATTACCAAAACTGAAACAGGCAGAAAGTGTCACAAGCTTGGAATTTTTCTTTGTCAGTTGGAAATGTTCAAAAATCAAAATTTGGAATATAAAAAAGTGATATAAAAGTATCAAAGTTTTTTTCACAAAAGAGCAAGTTGTCTGGAAGTTAAAGATTGCCTATACTGTACTTATTCTACACTTATAAATTTCTATAATTTTATAACTTAAACTTGAAAGATACTTAAAAATAGAGATAAATAAATATTTCAAAAATCCATTCATTTTCTCCTAGAAATAATCTTTAAAAATTGAATAATTAAAAGATAAATAATAAACTAAAATCATAACAGTATATTTTAAAATTATGTTCTAGGCAAACAAATTATAAGCATTTAGAAATAATTTTAGAACATTATATTTCAATTTAAAAATTAATTTGCTATAATTTTTGTGGAATGACTGGCATGCTGCATATAAATGGGGGAGACCAGCATGCCAGAAACTCTGAGATGACTGGCATGCTGGTTAAACTGCAACTAAAATATAAAATTAATCAACAAAATTAGTCATTAATTAAACATTAAACATGTTAACATGGCATGTTAGCATTCTTCAGCAGGTACTACAACATAAAGTGCAACATAATGTACCAAAGGAATTGAACAGTGTACTACACTGTTCAATTCCTTTGGTACATTATGTTGCACTTTGCATCTGGATAATCTACAAAAAAGTTTCTACAGGAGTACTATATTTAACATGAGTAGGTGTCTTAGTTCCTCCAAACTGTGGAGACAAAATTTTAGGTTTTTAGTAAATGTAAAATTTTGGATGAATGTATTTATCATATTTATCATGTTCAGACTATATCTGTGGCTATTTATAATATCTGTGGTGTAATTTAATGCTATTAAAATATTGATGACTTCTGAAGAATAGGTGTAGGCTTTTCTAATAAAATTTTTGAGTTTCTGACGAGATCCTTGGCCACTTTGTAAGGCTCATGTCAGAAACTAGGAATTTAAATGGAAACAAATGTCATTTTCCTATAAACCTTGGATTTTAATCTGCCCTTGTAAGAATAAGTGAATGTCCATGAAATACGCTTTCTTGTAGTTCTGTTCTAGATTAATAGATAATCCATATATATTATTTGTTGAATAATGATACAAGTAAATCATAAAATTTCATTAAATTTTACAAATGTTTTTAATATTTGTCATCATAAACATTTCAATTCTTATTTGTATTATAAATCTGAACTAATTTATCACCAAAATAAAAAATTAAAAAGGCCATAAACTTTGCATACCTCTGAACAGAAGAATAATAAATCAAATAATCCTTCTTGACTAAGTAATCTTATTGCAACTTCATCATCATAAAAAATATTTTCTTGAAGAAATTTTCTAAATTAGTATTATAATAATAATAATGTTAATCAAAAATTATTTTATGCAATAAAAAATTTAGTATTTATTTTACCTAAATGCTTGATAAACAGCAGGCCTTTCCAAGCACTTCTCTGTAATTTGTTGAACAAAACAATGCAAAGCAATGTTAGCAAAATGTACCTTATCTGGTGTTGGAATTTCAATACTTTTTGTACTAAATAACACTTGAATATAAGCTATTAATTCTGATAAATAGCCATAATTCATAAAATAGGCAACTCTTTTAAGTTGAGAACACTATTAAAAAAATACACAGTTATTAAATTAAATGAATTATTTAAAAGATAGGTTTTAAGATTATTAATTTATTGAAAAAAAAAATTTTTAATTATAAATAATATAGCATTTACCTTTGACAACTGGTAAAGATGAACAGCTTGAGCAAATTGGCCATTAGCCAATTGCAAATCAGCAGCAATTTCATATAAACGATGTATATCTAAACCTATCATTACCCCTAATTTCTCAGCTTGAGGAAGATTTGCAGGAATATCTGTTAGGCTGAGAAATAACTTTTCTGGAAGTATCCTATAAGTTAAATTATTAAAATAAAACTAAATGGTAAAAAATATACATTTAAATTTAATAAGCAATGTACCTTAGTCTACATTCCCAAACAGAATCTTTTAAAATTAAAAGACATCCATCCAAAATAAGTTCAGAATGTAAAGAAAGATTACTTTTACTTCTTAATTTTTCTGAGAACTGAACAGATTTATAAACAGAAATATCTGTTTTAATGCTAATTTCATCATTGTCTTTTCCACTGACAGTTAAAGGTACTTCTTGTCTTGCTTCATTTTTCAATTTTTCTTTTCTCCAAGAAGAACAAGATTTTTTATATATTGCTATAATATCTGTATTTAAAATGAAATTTTGAATCTCTGCTTCCATTGTTTCTTTCTACATAAAATATAAATTATATTTAATTTTATTGTATAAAAATAATAACAATTAAACAGTAAAAGTTACCAATATATTATTATTAACAGAGAATGTAATTTTTAATAAAATTATAACAAATGAATCAAATACTATAATTTTGTTGCATTATACTTTTGATTAATATTAGTTTAATTATTATTAATCAAACAAATTAATTGATTAATTTCTTCAGCTATACTTCCAAAAAGAATCTTTTAAAACTGTTCTTATTCTATAATCCTATACTATTAGGGTTGATTATTTCATCCAGTAATTCCAACATCCAAAGATTAAATGATGACAAAACAATTTTATTAGCTACATTTTTTATTGCACATTTATTTAATAAAATTGTTTTTTTATCATTTAACCTTTGGATTTTGGAAATGCTGAATGAATACTCAATAATGGGAATGTAGGATTACAGAATAAGAACAATAGAAATACAGCATCCTTAATTCACACCAAATCTTTTAAATTTTTGTAAAATATGATGATAAATATTTAATTATATATAAAATATAGTAGCCCCTCATTATATTGCGCATATCAAGATGTAAATCAAATGAGCAATATATCAGATAATGTGATATAACCAATATAATATGTAACTATCCACATTTCATCTACTTTCAATCTCTATACTGGCTTGCTTTTTTTTGTTTTTTCATGTGTTTTGTATTTCATACAATAGTAGTTTCAAGGTCTATCAATAATTGGAATAAAGTAATATTTCTTTGCCAATAGAGATTCAATGGCAACAAATGTTAAATGCTTTTATATTCAGAAGTCCAAAAAAGTATGATATATTATTTTTATATACAATAATTTAGTAAATTTTTCTTGTATTTTATTTTATCCTTTATAAACTCATTGTATATGTTCCTGTTTACCTGTAATACCTGTTTTTATATGTTCTAACTTATAATATTTTTTATTTAATTTTAACTGGATTTTATATTGTTAACTGGAAGAGTTATTTCTTGCCTAATGCATTATGTTCATAATCAATTAATAAAAAATAATTATTAAAGACAGAAATCCTACCTATAAATTAAATTTAAATTGCATACCTACATAGGTGTCTTTGTGCAAAATGTATTCCTCCTAAAAATTTTTGTTTTATGTTTACATATTTCTTTTATTTTTACTGAAAATTTCAGTTTAATCACTCAGCAGTGACCAACAGATATATCCGTCAAGGGCAATTGTGTGACACTGGTGAACAACAACTAGTCAAAAACTACCACAAAAAAATTCGCATAAAAAATTAATTATGTAATAATAAAAAAAGACTTTTCTTTACTAGACATAACTGTTTACAAAATCTTTTTCTGAAATGGTAATGAGAAAAAACGCGTGGGAAAATACTTAAAAAATTTCCCACATTTATTCTCCACTACATAGGGATAGCACCATACCTGACTAACCCACTGCTAAAAGGTTAATTAATACATAGATTTTTTTGTATTAAGACAAAAATATCATCCACATCATTTCGAATACAATAGTTTTGTCAAATCACCATCATCTTTGTATTGTGTTGTAGTTCTTGTCAATGTACACTTTCTGTAATGGACTTTCATCTGAAATTTTTTCTTGGTGTATTTTCCAAGAAATATTTTAAAAGATTAGCTTAATTGGTTAAATTTTTAAAACTGGTTTAATTTCTATAAAAGAATTACAGCTTATAACACTGCAATGAAATTCAAATGTTTTAGTAGTATTTTTAGAAGAAGTATTAAGTGTTTAATTTGTGAATAAATTTTTCACTTGTTTGCTCTGGTCTAAAGTTTTAAATTCTTTATGCTTCTTATCAGCTTGATTCTTCATATCTTTTCATTAGCAGACTCATGCTTCTCATCAACTTGAATTCAGTTGTCATGATAGCTATATATTAAAATAGTTCCAACTGTATCTAACCTTCTCCCAGAAATTTTGAAGCTTTGATTTTTTTACTTTGCCCATAGTTTTATTTTTAAATATTCAGATTTCACAACTAAACTACAGCACCATTACAGAAAACAAGTGAATGAGAGAGAAACCTTGGTAGTGTCTGTAGATTGAGAGAAACCTCTCAATCTACAGAAATTTTGGATGATAGTGATTTTAAACTTTTTAAAATTAATAATAAAAATTAATAAATAAATATCATATTTTTATTAATCAATAAATAACTACTTAAATGTAGCATTCATTTCATTTCATGTGTAAAATGAGTGCTAAAACCAAACTTTGCATTCAAAGGCATAAAACAAATGCAAAATACATGAGACTAACAATTCCTAAAACCTGTCAAAATTTTGTCCAACATTTCAGTTACATCAACTTATGATGTGTTGGTAATGTTTTATGTGTTCATGTGTTCTGCATGCATGATTCCAGTATCCAATAATAATAATATGCAAATGAGCAATATAATCAGACACAACATAATGAGGGGTTACTATAATATTAATCATTGTTAGGAATGTTTGTTGTTCAAAATAAGTTATTATGGAATTAGATGAAAGATATACAAAATATCATCAACTTAAAATATATTACAAAATCTCAAAAATAAGTTTTATTTTTGTTGTTAGGTAAAAATAAAATTAATTAATTCACTAAGGATTTGTCTCATAGAAGAGATTTGATTAAAAAAAATTATTTGATAGCTAAAGAAATGAGTTATCCAATTAAAATCAATCTTGAAAACTCCATTGCTGAAGATTTCTGTATCATATTTACACATTTTCTCACTGGTGCACTTATTTAAAAAACAAGCCATGTGTTATCCATTTGTCTTCAACCTTCCTTAAGAAAGTGGCTTACCAATGGTGAGAAGCCATCATCTTATGAAAAAATTAGGAGTTTGCAAAATTCCCTTTGTATTTTATTTTATGAGCACTCATAATAGTACAAGTAGGTGCTACTTCCTGTACATTGACCACATAGTTAATAAAACACCATGCAAACATTTGAAAATCCTAATTATATGACAGAATTAGCTGCCTGTGTTATTACACAGACCTAGCTAATTCTATACACATCTAGCATGTTCAATGTTTGGAATTCTTTTGGTCTGAGATCAAGCTGTTGCAATTTGCTTGTTTTTTCATTTGAAAAATGCTAAATATCACACGTAACAACTCTTGCAATTAGCCTACCTTTTCCTTGCCTGAGCATTGGATAAACCTTATCAAAAATCTGAATTACTTTTTAATAAACTTTATTTTTTAAAATTTTATAATATAGGAAATAAATAAAAGTTTAATGCTAGAAATAGAGTTATCTAAAAAGTGTAAAAGTTTGTATAATATTAAGTTATTAGATAAATAATGTAATAAATTTTGGTCCTACCTTTTTGGAGTGATCACTTGTTGCCTCTGCAAATTTACGAGATAATAACAGCAATTTGTATGTTTTATTATCATCATTTTCAATCAATTGGATTATGAATATAAGCTTATCTGTTAAGATGATATGTTTACAATTATTTGGCAGTTGATAAGAAAACAAATGCATATGTTCCAAACCACCATCTAAAATCTAAAATAAATTATTAAAATATACTTTAAAAATATAAATAAGTTGTTTCAAAATTGTAGACTAGTNTTATATTACTTTTCCTCTGAATTTGTCTTGAGTGTCACTTTATTATTGTAATTTATTATATAATACTATTGTAATCAAAATGAACCCCAGCCACACTGCTAGCAACAGAACGATGCGATGCAAACTGACGTGCTCACTCTTGCTAGTTGCTAGCTTTCTAAGGTGGCAACAGACGAGAGCTCTGCACCATGCAACATGCAACAAACAAAATGTTCGCTCGTTTGGACAGCCTGTAAACATGCGCTGCTCCATTGCTGCAGCTGTACACCCCAAACCATTTTCTGTCGGTCTTTGCCACAAACACAAAGGGTTTTGTCAACGCAGCATTCTTTTTTTCCAATGCTCACACACACCTTAGTACTGATACGTATGATACAAAATGATCTTTACGAAATCTTAAACATAAGACATAAGTTTATGACACATAATTGACAAAAACTTAATCTTTCCAAAACTTGGGACTTTTTTAAAATGCTGCGGGAACGCGGGACAAATTGTTAAAAATTGGGACTATCCCACCAAAAGCAGGACGTCTGGTCACCTTACACATAGTAGACATCACGAGCCACCACTGTAAATTAAATTAAAAATTACTTTATAGTAAAGATTGACGATATAAAATAAAATAAAAATTTAAAATCTTACCTCAACACGTTCACAGCATTACGAGGCACATGTGACTCATATGGACACGTCTAGTTAGGGCTACAGACACAATTGCTTATTTTTCAGTGGGACAGTGCATATGTTTCGATAACATAATTCTAGAAACATCATACTTGATATTATTTTATTAGGTGCAATAAAATACATTAATTTAATAGTACGAGGCATGGGTGACTCGTGCCGCCCTGTATTAAAATAGATTATGAGTCACGGGTGACTCGTAATGCCCAGCAGCTGCCTAAACATTCATCTACTGATGCCATGAGCGTGTTAATTATATAAAATAGTTGTAAAGCTTAAATTTAAAATCAAAATTTAAAATTCAAACTATGTTCTTTTAAACCTAAGCTTCTTAATGTGACTGTCTTTCAGCATTAAAATGACTTTAATTTCACATTAATTAAACAAAATTCACTTAAGTGCTGTCAATAATATATTACTATTGTGACAGTCGAGTTTAGTGAATAAATTCGTTAAATAAAATTTTTGTTAAGGGAGGAAAAGACAAAAAAATTTAACTTCAAATTGCCATAAAAAAAAGACATAAAAATCTTTTCCCACGAACTTAGTTCCTTGTCAAGTATGATACATCGAATGTGTCACCCGAAATCTCGAAAAAGACTATTGGTCAAAGAAAAAAGAACAGTCCTAATAAGGCAGTGGAAAAAACCCAAAGAGACCCCCTTTATAAAAAGGAGGGGTCGAGACGGAAGAGTCAGTCTCTGGAAATTTGTGCGCACTGTGTTTTTTACAAAAACGGATAAGTCGCTACCAGGAACTCGCTGTTCGAAGGGNTGTCTTAATTAGTTAATCAAATATCAATATAGTCTGAAATAATCTGGCAGTTTAGATTTGTATTTTAAAATGAGATTTGATGATTATAAATGTCTTATAGTAAATGAACCATATAATAGAACCATAAAATAATCATTTTCATATGTACATAGACTAAATTTATATTAAATTTATTATTTTATAAAGCATAAATTAAAATGTAAATATTCAACATAACCTTTACTTCACTTCAGCATTGAATATTTACATTTAACAAATGTTTTCAGGTTGATTATGTCGTTGTAAAACCTGAGGAAGGGTAGTGAATTACCCAAAAACATTTGTTAAATGTAAATATTTGGTGCTGGAGTGACGTAAACATTATTTATTTTGTGTTGAAGTGTAGTATTCCAGTTTATTTTCAATTATTTTGGACTTAAAATGAGATTAAAAAACAGTAAATTTTAATTCCATTTCTCATAATATATTTTAAAGATTTTTTTAATTTTCAATACGACAAAGTACACAAATCTATAATGATATGATACTGAATTTTGCCAATATAATCTAGTACTGATATTTTCCCAATCAAGCTGATCTGAGACTTCTACTCTTACTCTACAGGTGTTAGTAATAGTGAAAGACTAAAAGTAAAATTGTTTTATAGAATATTCATTCACTAACAATTTAAATGCAAATATAAATAAGCAATTAATTATTTATTCTGACATCATCACAATGCTACAATTTTTAATCATATTTTTTAATTTATTTAATTTAAAATATGTGCACTCTACCTTCAAATTAGCAGTACCTTGCCCCTGTACATCATACTTTTCCTTTAGTAATTGAGTCGTGCCAGTCATCTATATAACTTCTTTCAGAGGAAAATTTTGAATTGAAATAACACAACTTCCAGTTTGCATTGGAAGTTCATATATTGTTAATCGGGGCCTCCCACCTGAAGGTTTCCATATCTGGTCTCAGATTTCATCTATCTAACTCTGTTCTCAAGATTAAGGAAAGACAGACATAGACAACAGTGGGAATTTATAGGTCTACAATTTTTCTAATTGTAGCTCAAAAAATAAAAGTATATGAGTTTACTGGCTCCTTTCAGATCTGACCTTGAAAAATTATCTAGTTTGCCTAAGCCTGAATCCAGCCCTGTTTTCAAGAAAAAATTCAAACACGCCTTGAATAAATTTGTAATAGTATAGAAATTCACCAGATAAAAAACATCATTGCCAAATTGTTAACTAGCTTAAATTGTCTCCATACTGGAGTCAGAGCAATATTGCCCATCCATCACTGAAAACACTTGCTTGTCCTGGTTATACTCATGATCAAAAAGTATCAGGAATGGTTCAATAAAATGTAAGATTTTAATTTATTCATCAAAACTTATTTTATCCCATTCAAGGTAATCCTCTCCCACTGCAATGTACTTTTGCCAATTTTTTTTCAATCCTTAAAACATACTTTAAAGTCATTTTTGTGAAACTCCTTTGGGACTAGCAGCAAATTTTGGTTTATGGCATCAATCAACTCAAAATAATGACCACAAAGCAGAAATTTTAGTCGAGGAAATGGGATAGAGTCACAGAGTCCATATTGGGAGAAGTTTGCAAAACTGTATTTGTTAAATTTTTGGCCAAAAATTTACAAACAACAAGAGCATCGTGAGCAGATGCATTATTGTGGTACAAAATGAGATTTTAAGTTTTCTCATTACAAACCAGATTGTTTTCTATGAATTGTTTCATGCAAATGATGAAAAATGCTCAAATAATAGTCTTTGTTGACAGTTTGGCCAATCAGACAAAAGTCATGATGCACAACACCATGACAATTGAAGTAAACAGTTAACATGACCTTCATTTTTGACTGACTTTGATGTGGTCTTTTTGGTCTTGCTTCACCTTTCAAGCACCTTGATTGTTAAGCTGTTTGGTGTTAAAAGCATAGATCTATGTTTCATCACACATAATAAAACGTTTTAAGAACAATTTTCCTTGAGAAAGCATTTCTTCCGTTACTTGATAACATTATTGTTTTTGGAAAAATTCAACATTTTTGGGACAGCTCAAGGAGCAATGCTCTGCAAGCCCAAATGATCTTTCAAAATTGCTTGACAAAATCCAAATAATACCAAAACATGTTCAATAATGTCCCTAATTGTTAAATGATGATCATTGAGCACCAAATCTCTGACTTGGAGCAATGTTTTCATCAGTTGAAGTGGATGGTCTACCAGAGTGTATTTTGTCTTTGACTCATTCTCTGCCTTCCTTTTACAACTTGTGCCACCCAAAAACTCTTGTTTTCGATAGATTATCATCACCAAAGGCTTTTTGCAACATTTTCAACATTTTTGTATCAGTAATTCCATTGTGAAAACAAAATTTAATGCACTTCTTTGCTCAATTACACTTGACATTTTGAAAAATTGATGCAAAAATTCTTTAACACACAAAACAAGCATTTATTTGCAAACAAAAACAGATGATGACATAGAAATTGTTGTCAATGAAAGTCGTGCCAAATGAAAAAAATGCTGACAAACCCATCTTCACGTATGTAGTTTAAATGAACCATTTCCAATACTTCTTGATCACAGTAGTATAAAAAGAATTTGTATCTGACCCCCTTTAAAGCAGTGCCTACCAAGTTGACACCAGCCAAAAGTAATGACAACCATACGTCAAATGGCCATTGGTGGCAAATTATGTGTAGAGAAGACGCTGTCTACTAAGTGTTAGTTTTAAAACATGGTATGTCCATTGCCAAGTTTGAATGCCTGCCATGGCAAAATGATGTAAAGGATATGTAAAAAAAAAAAAGAGACAGATTAGAGCATTGTTTGTAAACCAATTCTGATATGCTGATATATCAATAGTGGATCAATATCAGTTATCATTTCTAATAAATCTGCTTTAATTATTTTTTTTTCAAATGTTTACTTTTTTGTCATTAACTATAGGTCTGGTGATTATGATAGGTGATTGATGAGTTCCCAGCCCAGTTGATGCAGGTGACAGATGATCTTACTGTTGTTTTAGCATTATCTGGATGGAACAAAACTCCCTTCTGGTTGACTAATGANTGTATTGATTATCGTTTCTAAATAAATTGATGGAAATTAATAAAATATTAAATTTATTATACAGGAGTAAATCTCCACTAACTTGGACTTCACATAATTCAGACAAATTTTTCCAAAATAGTAATTTAAAATTTCCTAACAATAGAAAAATTGTAATTAAAGAGTATTTTCAATTTCTGAATATCTTTGAAATATTATGCATTATATTACTGTAGTGGTAAATTAATAAAGATTTATTCAGCAATAGTAGTCGACTTAAAAGGTGTTTGTGGACTAAAACAGAAATTTATTGTTTGTTAGTCCACAAACCCTTTTAAGTGGTTAGATAAATATTAATAAAGATTGTACATTGCAACATGCTGTATTGCCATGAAATTTTTAAGTTTAT